TGCAGCTCCTTGCAGCTCCTTGCAGCTCCTTGCAGCTCCTTGCAGCTCGTTGCAGCTCGTTGCAGCTCCTTGCAGCTTATTGCAGCTTATTGCAGCTCCTTGCAGCTCCTTGCAGCTCCTTGCAGCTCCTTGCAGCTCGAAAGGAAAAAAATAAGAAAAAAGTAAATTTTGTTGAGTAGGGAGTGATATAGAATCCATTCCTCATTGTGACTGTCTTCTTTACTTGTAATGCCAAAGAAAATTAGTTCAAGCATCTTCTTCTTCCTCAAGTTGATCACTGTAATTTCCAATGACCTAATCTTCATTGGTTAGGAAATTTTCTGCAACTTCATCGCTTCGCTATAGCACTGCAGAACTTGCTGCTGTTTGGCGGTGTATATCTGGGGCTCTTTAAGGGATTAAAATAAATTGTGTGAAGAAAGATTTTGAGACTTTGGTCGCTGGGGCCAGTATTTTCTGCAGGTATTCACAGCTTTCTTTTTAATTTAACAATCGGATATTTTTCGCGTCAGGTCGCTCAAAAACTTGTTTCTCTTTATATCTTTTCAGTACCATTTCTTCCACACTGGTATGACCAGCTCATTCTCTTTATCGTAGATCTAACAAAACTGTCAGAGTCAATTTCCCTTCTAATTTTCTGTTCATAATGAAGGCCATAGTAAATGATTTTGTCATTAAGTTTCGATCTGGCTGTAGAGCTTCTGGTGACTTGTTCTTCCTTGACTTGCATAGTTTTACTCTTATCTGCATGAGTGTTTCTTCATTTTGCCTTTTTAAGATAATTTTTGCCCAAATTTAGTTACGATGATATCTTCGGAAATTTCCTGCCTCGTCCAACTCCCACGAGCAATTCTACCTTTCCAGAATAACTCTTTAACATTTCACGATTTTTAGTTTCCTTACTTAAACATATTTTCACTTACCTCTTTGCTTAAATAAGTTGCCAATTTTGGAATACAGCCAGTAACTGCTTGTGTTAGCCGGTAAATTTTTGGAAATATATTTTCCCAGGAAATTTACGACTTCAACTGACTTCTCGTTCTCAATTTTTAATAACTATTTTTGAAGGCTTTTCTAGTGTACTGCCATCAAGTCAAGTACAATAATGTCTTTTTGACAATTACATCATTTTTATTGTTAAGGCAAATCGTTTTGAAAATTTTCCAAACTTCATTTGGTTTTATCACCACCGTATTTTGGATTAAGAGAAAATGAAAGTTGAAAACTTGTAACTTGCAAAAATCGGTCAAATCCTTTAAACAATTTTAAGACTTTATGTCGTCTAAAATCAATATCGTGAGAATGCCCTCAATCCGAATCTGACCTCCAAAATTTTAAGCAGAACAGAAAAATTTGAAAATTTTTTAAAACGAGGCTGTAAATTGAATTGGTCTCTCAATCAAAAGGGAATTCGATACAAGTTACTGTAATCAATAAACACGCGACATACACTCATTTTTTTTAACAAGAAACAAAGGTCGATATTGAGTACTCCAGTGTTCTGGAAATTTCAATACACATTGTTTCTTAAGAGTTTCTTGATTATGTCATGAATGATGTTATGAAATGTTCGTGACCTTTTTATAACGTCAAGAGATTTGCTTCCATTCTGATGCTGTATTTAGACGTGGGAAGCATATTTTTATCCCTTGTGTCTCAATTTCTAGGCCATCAGGGCAATCATGTTCTTTGATTTTACAAAATTTCGTTGTTCTCAGTTTTATCACGATTTAATAATTTTGTAATTTTTTGCTTTGAGTACTGAAGTTTCTTAATTTTTTCTGACTGTCCAGTACTCGTTTCTTATAGCCAGTTTCTTAGAAAAAATCAGTGTATTTAGGCGAAAAAACAGGATCAATCTGCGCAGAGATGTTGATAATTATAGCGAAGGGGATTATAATAGAAAGATAAAAGACGTCAGTTGTAATCCAATAAAGTTTTACAGAGAGAAAACAAAGAAAGATCCCCCCGTTCTTTTCTCCGATACCTGAGGGGATATGGAATGTTAGGAATAACTCAACAGAAGAGTTTGTATTGGTGTGTACACAACTAGTCTAGTACTATCACAGAATGAATATGCATTACAATGCTATACAATATACACTCTTTTTTTAATAAGAACACGAGCCTCAAAACTGGTCAAAAGTTAAGAACAAATTAAGAACAAGCTGAGGCTGAGCTTCTGCAAAACGCAATTTTGAACAACTTTTCTTCTCAAAATCGAGGATTTTTAGCGATGTGTGGGTGCTTTTTCGGTGAATATTCAAATTTGTGAGCAAATTAAGGCTGTCGCACTCACTTTGTTGGCAAATGAGGCCTGAACACCTCCTTAGAGCGAAAAAGCTAGCAATAGCTCTGCTTACATCCTCTTAATTTAAGAGCAAATTAAGAGCAATCCAGCCTCAGATTTTCGAAAAAATTAAGAACAGTCAGCCTGAATTTAAATTTACTAGTTCTTATAAAAAATGAGTGTACATATAGGCGTCAGGGGGTAACACCAGACTTCAACATTTCCCCCTCCCTAACAAAACAATGAACATATTGAAAATTAAAAAAAAACATAAGGCTATATTCGATTATATAGTCGATGCAGTCAGTAGCGGCGCCACGTGGGGGACGCACGTCCCCCCCCCCCCAGTTATCGGCAGGATCAATTTTGCATTTCTTCTAAATCCGATGATAAAATGGGGGAGGGATAATATTTTGGCAACGTATTTTTTGTGATGTAATCCTATGATTTTCAAACTGCCTCTACATAGCCAAAAGTGAGTTATGGGCGTTCCCTTCAGGTAAAAATTGCGTTCCTTGTTAGTAAAAGGGCGTTTTCTGGTGCTAAAGAGGGCGTGGTCTAAAATCTTTTGTTCTGTCCCCCCCCCCTCCAGAGCGTAGTGGCTGGCGCCGCCATTGGATGCAGTTCAAAGAATGCTTCCTGGGACAGTCTTGCTCTCCGAATTCGTAGAGGATAGGTAACGTTTGCTACTATTCACGCCAACATCGATCATCGAGACACACTTCCTTGAATTTCATTTAGAATTATATGAGAGGGTCCTGTCTTTCAAAAGGACCAAATAGAGAACAATTGAAAAGTGTTCTAGTTTCAATTGTGGCCTAGCAAGGCCTAAAATAATAAATTTTTACAGATTCACATATTTTATAAAAATTGGGCGTGGTACTTTGCTGGGATGGCATCATGGGGGTGGCAAATATAGAAACTGCCATCATACTGCAAATAGCATGTCCTAATTGGGCAAATTCTTAAATGAATGCAGTATAAGTAGCAGAAGCTGATTCTTTACATTATGTGGATTGGGTTAATAAGAAAATTAGCTACTTATAGCGATGTCTTGATATGTGAGCGGAAAGGTATCGAAAGAAAACTCTTTTTCTTGGTTTGTTCGAGTCTCCGTCAAAGTTATTTCTTTTCCTTTCACCTTCAAAAACACCTTAAATCAGCCTTGCTTCCCAGACTTTGGTATTTTTTTGTTTTTTTGAGCCATATCTTTGCAGCTTTTCTCGGAACTCGAAACTTGCGAGATCAAGCATATTAATTGCAATATTTATCTATTTGATAAGTTTTCTGGAGCTGTGCTGCTTTCCCCGCCTGCTTCTATGTTGTTATAGGTGGGAATCAGCCTCTCTGCATCGACAGAATTAGGGATTGCTGCGATGTCCGGGACAAAAGCTGGGTGAAGCTTTCTTAAGTGTTGTTTACTTATGGAAAGTTCTTAACTGCATTCAGCCCATCAAACCCCTTGGCTGTCATAAATTGATTTGGCCGAAGAAACAACATTTGGCTGAATTCTGGCAGCATGTTGCAAAAAACAACGAAAATGCAAAGGAAACAAAAATTTTTGCACAGATAATATTCAAACAATTTTAAAATAATTTTAAAATTGCAAATGATTAATGATGAAACAAAGCAAAAGATAACAGACAGTTTTAGATCAAAGCAAGTGAAAACTTTTATAACCTACAAAGCAAATTTTGATTACGGTATCACTCCCAATAATTAGCAAAAATTAGCTTTTTTGTATACTGTGTTTAGCTGGCTGCATTTGGCTGCCAACCACAAAATATGTGGCTGCCAACCATTCAAAACAACTGGCAATATCCTGAAGGTGGAAAGTCACAATATTCTCTCAAAATGAAACCACAGATGCTGGTGTAAAGTGTTTGCATTTGGTAACGATAGACAATGGATCAATGGAAACAATGTTTCTTCTAAATAATATCAAGATTATGCCAGAGTTATGCTAGATTCCAAATTATGCTAGATTTTATGCCAAATGACGATTTTTGGCCAATTTCATGTTAATATTATGCTAGATCAGGTCACACTGGCACCAGCCCACAAGGTAGTGGCTGGAACGGGACTAGCAGGCTCGCCCCTAAATGTTTTTAAAGCCACGCCCTTTGAAACACCGGAAATCACTCCTTTCAGAAAATATTTGCTTTTCTCCGTCCTCATTCATGAACATAACGATTTAAAGAAGATTTCAATTAACATAAAAATACAAAACCGAGTTAGATAAAATACAAATTTATCTTTGATCACACAAGATAAAGCACCATCAAAAAGAACAAAAACATGTTCCCAGAAGAACTGCTACTAATGCGTTCGTTTGCGTGAACTTTCAAAACATTTTCTAACCTATTATTGCAAAAAAGTTGAGGAGGACTATAGTCCTTGTTATGCAACATTCCCAATTGAATGTTCCTCCCAGCTACCACCGAGAGGCTTATCATCGTTCAGCTGCTGTAGCCTTGAGGGGAAGTTTTCCAATGCTTCTCCAATTTAATCCCTACCCT